TGCTACGGCCAGCTCGGGCAGTGCGTGATATTCCTTTACCTCGTCGAGTCGGGGATTGTCCGAGGGTGTCCTGCGAGCGGGACCTTATATGCGGTGGCGTCTCATCCTTTCATCGAACACTTCGAAACCCTCCTCGAGAAGGAGCAGCTGGGCCTTGTGAGGGCCTGCGCGGACGATAAAGGCAGTGTGATACGAGATCTGGCCGCCCTCAGAAAATTACATACGGTTTTGCGGGCTTCGAAACGGGTGGCCAACCTAACCCTCGAACTGAGTAAATGTAAACTAGTGCCATTAAGCGGACCCTTCTCAGAGGCTGTCGCCAGGACTTATAAGAATTGGATCAATCAGCACTTGCCCGAGTGGTCAGATATATGCATAGTACCCAAGCTGCTCTACTTAGGAGTCTTTCTAGGTCCTGCTGCGCCCCCTTCGCCCTGGGATGCGCCCATGACCAAATGGGCAAAACGCTCGTTCAGCATTGCCCAGTCTGGGGCGCCCGCAGCCATCGCCACCGCTTTGTACGACTCGCGTGCTCTCTCCTGTTTGGGGTACATCGCTCAGTTCTGTCGAATTCCCAAGACAGTGCTTCCGAAAGAGCATGCTATTTTCGCTTCGATTTTAAAGATGCCGCACTGCTCGCTGTCTCGTCAGGCGTTCTTCTCTCTCGGAAGCTGGGGCGGCCCTCGCCTCAGGAGTGTTCTTGTGCTCAACCTGGCGACGCTCATTCGAGCGTTAGCACGTTCTCTGTGTGGCGGTCTTGCGTTGCTCGGCTCTCGGAGGCGGGGTCAGAGCTCTCCCTTGAAGATGTAAGTAGAGGCCGCCGCTGCCCAGAATTCTGGACAGAGCCCCCGATCTGCGACACATTGCATGCTGCGTCGGCAGGTTTCAGCAACGACCAGCATTTTGCGAAGGCTGGCCGCCGTGCGTTACAGTGTGCACTGGAGGCCCAGCGCGAGGGCAAGAAGATCCAGCGTGCCGCCGCCGAGAGCCTCAAGTCTTCCCTCTTTCCTCCCTCGCTCGCCCCGACGTTCCGAGCCCGTCTCGCCCACCTCTTCCCCAATGTCCCGGCACGGCAGTTGGGCGCGATCTGCTGGCCGCAGGTTAAGACTGTAGTTTTGTCTCTTCCTCCTGCTTGGAGGCAAGCGGCGCTGAAAACACTTGCAGGAGCATGGGCGACTCAATCGCGATTTCAGCAGTGTCAGAGATGTATGTTCGGTTGCACAGATGGTTTAGACTCTCAGGCCCACTACCTCGTTTGTCTTCGGTTTTGGGGGTTATTACAGGAGTTTCACGGCCACCCGTTTCCAGAATGCCCCATTCACCGATTAGGCCTCCGTCACCCCACAGCTAAATCCTTGAAGATAATTGTCTCAGCCTTTTACTTTTTTACTATCGCCCATGTCGAACCCCATCCTCTCTCTTGGGATGCCGCTCTCGCCCTCCTTCCCCAGCTCCGCTCTTCTCTCTTTCGCACCGTCCCTGCATCGCGCCCGCATGCGGCGACGCCGTGTGCCACCCGCCCTGCGGCTTCGGCAAGGCCCGCGGCTGGGAGCAGCGGCAGCAGTAGTTCAAGTAGTAGCAGCAGTAGTAGCAGTGGATAAGACCGTGCTCGCCGTGGTACGAGCGCAGGAGGAGGAGGAGGAGGAGGACCCCTTCCCCCTCCAACTTATGGTGGTGGTGGTGGAAAACAGGCCCATCAAGCGTGTCTCGCAGGCCGCGATGACGCGCGGGCGCCTCAGTGCGAGCCGGTGACCCGGGCGGGCGCAGTATCATTCGGGGGTGGGCAGACCTCCTACCCCGACACGTCGATTCGTGAATTGTCCGTTTTCGGTTCTCGAGGGGGCGCCGCGGCCGTCATTTTCCAGGCGCCGCGGCCGTCATTTTCCAGGCGAGCCGGTGACCCGGGCGGGCGCAGTATCATGGCGAAGCCGACCATGGCAGACGCGGTGCTGATGGGAGCGATGCGGGTGACGACGATGACGATGAGGACGGCGAGGGCAAAGACGGCGTCGACGCCGCTCGCGCTGATGGCGATGACGGTGTCAACGCGTCGGCCACGAAGGATTTGGAGCGATGTCTGCATGCGCGCGAGGCGGGCGGGCGCGCGTGGAACGCATGTTTTTTTAATTTGGCTGGGACCGTGCTTCCCCAAAGTGCGCAATGCGCACGAGGGGCGATGCGGCGATGCCAGCCCGTCAGGGACGATATGAGCTCAATATCAAGATGAATGATGGGGCAGCATCGTGTGTAAATAGCAATACCCCGGCAGGAACAGTGAATTCTGGGGGTTGGGGGGGGTACATGTTTTGTTATTTTCCAACAAGGAATGGAGTATCTTTGCGAGGTGGCGACGGCGACAACATAGCCGACAGACCGCCATGCAGGTTTCGACCACAAGCGGCGACAACGCGGCGACGGGGCGGCGACGGCGACGACATAACCGCCAGGCTGGCGCACCGGCCCAGACGACGGGCGGCGACGAGGCGGTGACGGGGCGACGACGGCGACAGCATAGCGAGACCGGCACACCGGTCCAGACGACGGGCGGCGACGAGGCGGCGACGGTGCGGCGACGTCGACAATAGACCCGCACACCAGCCCAGTTCGTTGAAAACAGCTGAATGCAAACGCTGTTTGGGGAACGTGCTCCGTGGCGGTCGCTTTCTGGCCATATTGCTCGGGAGCCGACATACTACAATATGTCTGTACTATATGTTCGGTTCGGATGGGCGCCTCCGGGGAGGGCACATGGTACTAGTATGTTCTTCTGCGTCCTGTGAGTCCGGCGCCGCAATTATGTTCACGACGGGCGTCTTTGCCCGGTTTTGGGCCCCGAGGCCCTCCCAGATCGGTCTTTTTCGGGGAGTGAAGACGGGGTCCGAGGTTCAGGTCGCGAAATCCGCAACGGCTTCGCCCCTTGCCGCCGGCCCCCTTTCTATCATAACGGGGTGCATACGAGCTTTATCATATTCAGAGGTCTTGACACCGTCTTGAAGACATTCTGATGCTGACGCCAGTGAGGATGGTGATGGAAATCTTGCCCATGATGCTGCTGCGGGCGCTGGTGCTGGTGCTGGTGCTGGTGCTGATGATGATGCTGATGATGATGAGGAGGAGGGTGAGGATAATGAAGATGATGAGGATGATGGTAATGAGGAAGATGCTGATGATAATGACGCATCTGATGATGATGATGATGAGGATGATGATGGTGATGATAATGCTGATGCTGATGCTGTTGAGGATGATGATGATGATGACGATGATGATGATGATGATGATGACGATGACGATGACGATGGTGTTGATGACGATGATGATGATGATGATGATGATGACGACGAAAACGATGATGATGCTGGTGATGATAACGATGATGATGATGATGCTGATGCTGATGATGATGATGACGATGACGATGACGATGGTGTTGATGACGATGATGATGATGATGATGATGATGATGATGATGATGATGATGATGATGATGATGATGATGATGATGATGATGATGCTCAACTTGCGTGAACTGAAAGAGCTGCGCAAGAACTTGCAGCAACAGGAGCTCATCCAGAAACGAGTCCATGATGACGAGGAGGAGGAGGAGGAGGAGGAGGAGGAGGAGGGAAAGGAGGAGGAGTAATGCGCGAGGGGCAGGAGCGTGATTTACGAGGGATCATGGCTTCGAAAACACGAGGGATGGTTGCTTCGAGGACGCACATATCGTATAATTTACGAGGAATCGTGGCCTCGGGGACGCGAGTATTAGGATTTACAAATGATCGCGGCCTCGTGGACGCAAGCATCGCGTAATTTGCGAAGGCTTATGGCTTGGGGGCGCACCTATTGGGTACTTCACGTAGGATTACGGCCTTGGCGGCGCAAGTGCTGTATCGTTTATAAGGATTATGGCCTTGGGGACGCGAGCATGGTGCAATTCATGAGGGATCGTGGCCTCGAGGACGCGAATATTATGTAATTTGCGAAGGTTGATGGCTTCTGGGACGCAGATATGAGGTAATTCACAGAGGGAGGGTGGCCTTGGGGACGCAACTTGTGAATAGTTTTCAACAGATTATGGCCTCGGGGACGCGAGTAAGGCTTAATTTATTAGGTTTTGTGGCCTCCGCGAAGCAAAGATCAAGTACTTTCCAAGGGGTTATAGCCTCGGGGACGCGTACACACCATAATTGTCAAGGGGTTTATCGCCTCGGGCAGGCGAATACCGCGTCATTCGCAAGGACTTCTTGCCTCGTGGGCGCGAATCTTATGTTTTTAATTTCTCCCACGACCACCCCTACGGCAGGTTCGTGTCGTGCCGACCCCAGTGTTGGTTTTTGACACCGCAGGGATCGTTCAACCTTGAACGATCGGCCGCTGCCGCAACGTCCGATCGCTCAACATCGATCGATTCTGGGTCGCCGGCGGCGTTCAACCTTGAACGCCCGCGCTGGGGTCGCCGCTGGCCGACACGACGCAAACCTACCGTAGGGATTCTGAGACCCCCCGGATGGCGTGATGCAGGGTGGCTTGGGGCTCCCCCCGTCGTGCGGACCTCCACAATTGACAGAACCGGGCGCAGGAAGGAGGACCATTCCTCCTCCCCCTCCTCCTCCTCCTCCTCCTCCTCCTCCTCCTGCCAGGCCGCCCTCCGACGAGAGCCCACATTAGAAACTGGAAAAGGAACCGGCGCAGGGAACAGCAATCCTAATCCGCGCAGCCTGGTGGCCCCACAAGGGGTCCGGCAAATTTCACGATGTTGATTTCTTTTTGCGACGTCGGATCTCCAGGGGAGTGGATGGGGTCGGCGGATCGGGCCGTATCGCCAATGCATCGGCGATGCATCGCCGATCGGGCGCGATCCACATCGCGATGTTCTTCACCCCAGCGTGGCCAGTGCATCTCCGATGCGTCGGCGGTGCGGTGAGATCATCCGGCCCCATCTGCTCCGGCCCCGTCTGGCCGGCCTCGGTGCGCGCCGTGGCCGGACAGTCCAGCAGCGCCGATCTGGCCGCCAAGGACAAGAGCAGACGTGCGAGGAGGAGGAGGAAAGAGGGGAGGAGGAGGAGGAGGAGGAGGAGGAGGAGGAGGAGGAGGAGGAGGAGGAGGAGGAGGAGATGAGGAGAGCAGAGGAGGAGGAGGGAACAGAGTGAGGTGGAGGCGGAGAGGGAGGAGGGAGGAGAAAGGAGGAGGCGGAGGAGGAGGAGGCGGATGAGGAGGAGGAGGGAGGAGAAACGATGCCCAGACGAGTTGCCCTGATCAGGGATGTGGAGGAGAGCGCAGTGGAATCAAGTGCTGGGTAAGATGTCGTGCCCCAAGAGGGGTAGGATGGAGGAGGACTCGGACGAGGAGCAAGAGGTGGAGGAGGAGGAGGAGGAGGAGGAGGAGGAGGAGGAGGAGGAGGAGGAGGAGGGAGAGGGGGAGGGAAGGGGGACGAGGAAGGAGGAGGGACAGGGGGATGAGGAAGAGGAGGCGGAGGAGGAGGAGGAGGAGGGAGGAGGAGGAGGGGGGATGGGGGAGGGGAGGGGAGAAGGAGGAGGAGGAGGTAGTGGAGGAGGAGAAGGAGGAGGAACCAGGTGAGGCGGAGGCGGAGGAGGAGGAGGGAGGAGGGAGGAGAAAGAGGAGGCGGAGGAGGAGGAGGAGGGGGAGGCGGATGAGAGGAGGAGGGAGGAGAAACGATGCCCAGACGAGTTGCCTTGATCATGGATGTTGAGGAGAGCGCAGTGGAATCAAGTGCTGGGTAAGATGTCGTGCCCCAAGAGGGGTAGGATGGAGGAGGACTCGGATGAGGAGCAAGAGGTGGAGGAGGAGGAGGAGGAGGAGGAGGAGGAGGAGGAGGAGGAGGACGAGGAGGGAGAGGGGGAGGGAAGGAGGGACGAGGAAGGAGGATGGACAGGGGGATGAGGAAGAGGAGGCGGAGGAGGAGGAGGAGGAGGAGGAGGAGGAGGAGGAGGAGGAGGAGGAGGAGGAGGAGGAGGAGCGGGAGGGGAGGGGGAGGAGGAAGAGGAGGAGGAGGAGGAGGAGGAGGAGGAGGTGGTGGATGAGGAGGAGGAGGAGGAGGAGGAGGATGAGGAGGAGGAGGAGGGTGGAGGAGAAAGGAAAGGGGTAGAGGAGGACCGAGGATAGATGCTTTTGGATATTTGCAGTGCCTTCTTTTGGAACTCAGGGGCACCCTCGCGGCCATGGCCGCGTAGGTTCCCCTTGCGCACTTGTTTTCTGAGCGTGCCCCAACGCAGGTGTGTTGGATGGTATGCTGTGTGCGTTGCCCCCTGGACCTTCAGCTTTGTTCACCCGTAGACGGGCTAGCGATGTAGGTACAGTGGGAACCCATGCCAAGACACACCCGGCTTGCCTCCAGGGTGCTCTGAGTTTCTTGGGTGTCGATGGTCTTGCGATGGAACGCGCGACGTTCCCACCAGAAATCAATGGACGTCTGGGGTCTCAGGGTTGGGTTTCTTGTTGAAGGTTTCTTGTGGACTGGCCTCCACTGTAACGGCGATGTAGATTTCGGTAGGGTGGGAAGGCGTAGCTCGCGCTTTCCTACAATTCGCTGTATCGTGTTCGCTCGATCCATTCGCAGATAGGAAATGTAGGAAAGTGTGGTTCGCGGTTTGCTGCAACTTTGTTCTCAACATCACCGTTCAGCAACATCATCGTTAGCCCAGCCTTGGAGCACGCTCCCACATAAGGTGATCACTTTACGTTGATTCTCACTTGTTTGGGAAGAGCCTGTGGGTGCAGGGTCCTTCGTCAGGGGCGTTGCCCAGGGTCGCTCAGGGTTGCTCTCTGTTGCCCGCGGTTGCTTGGGGTTGTTTGGTAACGTAAAGCAGCGCTACGCAACGCCAAGCATCGCTAAGCAATGCCAGGAAAGGTCACAAAGCCAAGCAAGCCAATCAACGCCAAGGAATGCCAAACGAGGCGAAGTTGTGCGAAGCACCGCTAAGCACTGTCAAGCAACTCCAAACAATGCCAAGCAATGCCAAGCAATGCCGAGTTATGCCACACAGTACGCCAAGCAGTGCCATTCAGTGTCAAGTCGTGCCAGGCAGCGCCAAGCAATGCCACCCAACGCCAAGCAGCGCCGAGCATTGCCAAGCAACGCCGAGCAATGCCAAGCAATGCCAAGCAATGCCAAGCAACGGTTCCAAGCAAGCCAAGCAATGCCAACCAATGCCAAGCGAACCAACGCAATGCCAAGCAACGCCAACTAATGCTAACCAATTTTAATATTATGCCAAGCAGTGCCAAACAAGGTCAAACACGTCCAAGCAATACCAAGCAACGCCGACCAATGCCAAGATGTGTCAGGCAGCGCCAAGCAATGCCAAGCAATCCCAAGCAACGCCAAGCAACGCCAAGCAAAGCCAAGCAATGCCAAGCAGTGCAAAACAACGGACATCAACTCCAAGCAGCGGCATTCAGTGTCAAGTCGTGCCAAGCAGCGCCAAGCAATATCAAGCAACACCAAACAGCGCCGATCAATGCCAAGCATCACCAATAACTACCAAACAATCCCAAGCAAAGGTTTCAAGTAACGCAAAGCAGTGCCGACCAATGCCAAACAACGCGACGCAATGCCAAGCAATGCAAAGCAATGCCAGGCAATGCCACGCACTACCAAGCGATGTCACACAACGCCAAGCCAACGTCAAGAAATGCCACGCAATGTCAATCAGTGCCAATTAAATCTAGATTCTGCCAGACAGCGCCAATGAATGCTAAGCAATGTCATCAATTAGTGCTTTGCGTTGCTTTGCATTGTTCAGAATTTCGTTGGATTGTTAAAACCCCCCCAATTGTGTCGCGCAAGCTTCGTGTATTTAGAGGTGCGCTCGATACCTTAATCAGCGCACCGGAGGCAACAGCGCGCGCGCGCGTGCCCGTGCGCGTCTTCGTCTGTGCGTGTGTGCGTGTGTGTGCGTGTGTGTGTGTGTGTGTATGTATGTATGTGTGTATGTGTGTTCTGTCTCCCATGAGCATGCTACGCGGTCGTGCCACCAAGCCGCCAGAGGAGGAACAACTGTGTGTGTGTCTGTGTATGTGTTTTGGCTATGCTGTCCCCGCCATGCTACCTTCGGTCTTGCCTCGTCTGGGCGCCCCTACTCGTGTGACCCGCCGCTCTGGGCAACCCCTCTTCGACCGAAGTCTGTCCGTTTGCTCTCCGTTACAGCCTGGGCTCGCCGCCGGCTGGCCGCTGTGAGCGCTGTCGTTGTGGGCGCGGGGCCACGCGGGAGTCCTTGCTCGCCCCCGCCTCCGCGCTTGGACGTTGCACCTGGGCGACCGCGAACCCGGCTGCAGCAGCCGCTCTGGCCCCGGACTGGTGGCGACCCGGGCCTTCGTCTTTGGAGCGCTCCTCGGTCTTGGCTTGGCTCGGCCGACCTCCCATGCTGGCGCCCGGAGCCGCCGCTCTCCAGCGCGCTACGTGGGCGGCCACAGCAGCCCGCCGTCCTTCGGCTGCGCGCTCGCCGCCCGTCGATAAAAGGGCTCTCCCCTCTCCTCCTCTTTCGGCTCCGCTCGGGGCCCCTCTGCCCTGCTCGCGTGGCGGCCTGGCGGCTTCTGCCTGCGCCCTTCCGCTTCTGCGGCCCGCTCCGGGCGGGCCTGCGGGTCGGGTGCGGTCGCTGCTCCGCGGCGGCGTCGTTTCCGCCCCTCCTCCTCCTCCTCCTCCTCCTCCTCCTCCTCCTCCTGCCCTCTTGTCCCGCCTGTCCGCAGTGCTCCCGCACTCCTGGTGCTTGGCCCTGTGCCTCTCCCGCGCAGCCCGTTCGGCTCGGGCTCGCCCTGCCTTGAACGGCCTCTCTTCTCGTCTCTCTGCCCGCGGCCGCGCGGGTCGCGCTCGGCCGCTGCCCGCCAGCCTCCGCCGCCCCACTTTTATCCTCCGTCCCCCGCTCCTCTCGGCCTCCGCCGCTTGGCGTCGGCCCCCCCCGACATCCGAGGTCGTGTTTTTTTGTCGCAGCGCGGCTCCCCATTGCTCTGGACCCCATCCACGGGGACTGGCTCTTCATAACGAGTCGTTTTCTGACGTGCCCAGGGCCAGTGAGGGCCCCCGGAGGCAGAACATTGTCAAAACGTATCCGTCGTGTTTTTTTGTCTTTTTGTTTTTTGTTTTTTTCTGATGACGCGAGGAGGTCTGGGGCCCCTGCTGTCTGTCTGTTACCTCATTTTTCTCGTGCTTCATCCTCCTTCACTGTCCGTTCTTGCTGCTTGGAAAGCCTCGTCGGACTCGGCACCAGGGCGACCAATTCTGCACGCGCCACCACAAAGCGTTGCGTTCGCTTAGCGTGCGCCAGCGCAACGGAGGACCAGAGTCTGTTTGTTTCCCATACCTTAGGATGGGTTTCTTGTTATTATTCAGACGCCTCCGGACCTCCTCCCGCACACGTCACGACTCACACTCGCCTCTTATTCTTCATTTTCACTTACTCATACGCAGACTCACTCAGATTCTAGACACTTCGCGTAGCCCCATCCGCCCATTTAGAAACGACGCCTCGACGCGTTGACCTGATCAGGGATGTGGAGGAGAGCGCAGTGGAATCAAGTGCTGGGTAAGATGTCGTGCCCCAAGGGGGGCAGGACGGAGGAGGACTCGGATGAGGAGCAAGAGGTGGATTATGATGATGCTGATGATGAAGATGATGATGATGATGATGATGATGGCCATGATGATGATGATGATTATGATTATGATTATGATGATGATGATGATGCTGATGACGATGATGATGATGATGATAATACTGATGATGATGATGCTGATGATGATGATGATGCTGTTGCTGATGCTGATGTTGATGCTGATGCTCATGCTGATGCTGCTGATGATGATGATAATGATGATGATGCTGATGCTGATGAAGATGATGATGATGATGATGATGATGATGATGATTATGATGATGATGATGATGATGATGATGATGATGATGATGATGATGATGATGATGCTGATGATGCTGCTGATGATGATGATACTGATGATGATGATGATGATGCTGTTGCTGTTGCTGTTGCTGTTGATGCTGATGCTCATGCTGATGCTGCTGATGATGATGATATTGATGAT